AATATGTAGGTGTGTAAAGTCACACACTAGTGGTCATGAGAGGATGTGTGCTGAGACAAAACACCTTCATGTTGTCAGACTTTTTGTACTTCACGTGTGATCCATTTTACATTCTGCTTTGAGAAGGTCTCACATTCAGCTCTGCATCTTGGTTTGATTCGCAGTCAGTATGTCATGATTGAAATTATGACGTCAAGCCACCGACGAGACTTTTTGTTTGAGCTGACAAGAAGGCGCTCATACTTTCTGACTTGGCAATGTCACATTGATTCTCACTTTGCACATATACGTTAGCTTCAGCTTAAATTTATAAACCATCTCCAGTTTTGTTTCCAGCTGCAGCTGGTATCTAAATCCTCTAAGACTGATCTGAAGCAAGCAACAGACTTACAGGTTCTCAACTTGAGATGTTTTACAGATTTCGGAAGAGAAGATGCGCAGATGCAGGAAAAAATGTACTTGAGAGGCCCGGGCTGGCAGTTTAACACATTCATACAGCAAACATGCCGCAGTCTGTGGTGTGAATGGCTCCCAACGTCTGGCTTACCAGCAGAGACTCAAAGCTTCAGAGGAAATGCACAGGAAATGAGGACAGAGTGTGATTATGTCACACGATTTTATTCAGTGTTGTATTCATATTCGTTTTCAGCTGTTGAAAGATGCTCTGAAAGTGAAGTTAACATGTAAGTAAGAGTAGAGTAAGAGTTATTTATGAGGGCAGAGTTTCATTCAAAACCAGACCAGACCAAAGCAGTTTGTAGTTTGGTTTCACTCTCAGTTCGTCATGCGTTCGGGTGGTCTCTGTGCTGAGAAACGGAGCCACGTCAGATGTTTTTTCCTTTTTCCTTTACAGCTGACAGAAAACCACAGACACTTACACAGAAGTAGGACACTGTTTTTGGGGTGTGTGTAACTGAAACAAATGCGCAAATAAAGATGTGAAACAATGCCGAGAACATCGCTCCTGCTGCCGCTCTGTAAGTACAGCTTTTCCAAATATGAAACAATAGAAATGGGAGCATTAATGGAAACACGAAAGGTCACAGGAACAAGTGTTATGTGGGCAGATTGAATGATCGGATAAATGAGTGAAATCCTGTTTGATGTTGAAAAATAGCAGCTTTTAGATCAAAGTTTTAGATTTTGCTTATTTTTGTTATAATGTAAGGAACTATTTGCCAGAAACAGATTATAAAAATTGTACTACTGTACACTCAGCTCGAGAAATGTGAGAAATATAAAGTGAAACAAGGTTTTACTTTATATTTGACACTGTTTCACTTTAATGGAGAGAGAGAATATTAACCAAAGGGTAAGACATTTCTATTAGGTTGTCACCGGGTTTGTACAAAGATTTGGCTTCTACTCTCTACACAAACTCTAAATGCTTTTGGTTTCTTGGATGCTTCTTCTTCAGCTTCTTCCACAGATTTTCTTCAGGACTGAGGTCTGGAATCTGCTTCACGACTCTCCATGACATTAATGTGCTTCTGCTTTAGCAGCTCCTTTTATGCCTTTGCAGTATGTTCTTGGTCATTGTCACGCAGCCATAACCCATCTTCATTTTTCTGGCTGAAGGAGGTTCAACCCTACATTCATTGTCCCCTTAGTGGAAACAAGTCACCCTTCAGCAGCAAAAACAGCCTCAAACAATAATGTTAATGTCGGGATGGTGTTCTTTTGTTTCGTCTGACCACAAGACTTTCTCCGAAGTCTTCCAACAGTCATTCAGATGTTTACTGGCAAACTTAAGATGGGCTTTACTGATTGATATGTTAGAGTCAGAAATCTGGCTGTGTTTTAGGACTACTTATTTCACTCAGGGACATGAAAATAAATATATTACTTTTATGTAATATTATTATAATATTACATAAAAGTAATAGTATTACTTTTATTGCATTTCTTGCTGGATTTTTGGACCCTTTTCTGTCTCTCTCTAATTAAAATGAATCTACTATTTTTTTAAAAATATTTTCTTTCTAAGTCCTTTGCACAAGTGACCATCTAAACTTACAAAATGAGCAGGGGTTCAAATTGTTATTTTGCAACTGCATATATAAAGTGCTGTGAGAAAGCATTTGTTCCCTTACTTACCTGAGTACATACAGAATACGGTTTTTAAATGATTAATCATTTATTATGGAATAAAAGTTTTCCAAACCTACCGTTCCCTGTGTGAAAAAGTAATTGCCCCCCTGATGTCCACAAAACTGTCAATGAGTTGTTCACATCACTGTGAGGGAAGTTTGTCCCAATCTCCTTCACCCAGTTGTTTCCATTCAGCCACACCGGTGGGATTTTTAAGGTCATACCAAAAGCATCTCAATCAGATTTAAGTCCAGACTTTGACTAGGCCACTCCAAAACCTTCAGTTTACTTCATTAGGAAGTGGACTTGATGTTGTATTTTGGATGATTGTCCTGCTGCATGACATAAGTGTGCTTGAGCTTCAGGGCACAAACCGATGGACGGTGTTTCTGCTTCAGGATTTTCTGGTAGTAATAATAATGGATTGGATTTATATAGCGCTTTTCAAGGCACCCAAAGCGCTTTACAATGCCACTATTCATTCACTCTCGCATTCACACACTGGT